CAAAAATCGCAAAAGACAGAGTACCAGATATTGCAACCAAGTCCAAGACACAAGCCTCTTACTACTCAGGCTAGAAGCTGTCAGTAGCATGCCTCTCTTCCCATTTGTGGGCCTGTGCACCTTGAGTGGACAAACTATCACGCACTGCAGTTTTGTGTATAAAGCTTGAGGTAAATCTTTCATTGCCTTGTTTCCATCAAGCTTCATTGTGTATATTGATTTAGCACCATGGGTTGTTATTTTCTGGTTGTAAAGAATTTAAAAACTAAGAGTCTGGATTACAGCATCACTATATTTAATATTTTACAGTCCTGGAGGACTGGTAATATCTAACCATGAAGAGCTGGGTGCCTTTGCCTGTCTAGCCTCAGTCTGAAATACTACTAGACTTATATTTGTCATAATGCTGTAAATATACAAGTTTCTAAGCTTCTACTGCATTTTTATTATCCTTGGTGACAAGAATAAAAATATTACCTCTAACATCACTAATTACTTCTGAGGAGAGAATCCAAGTGCTTAGCTGTAAGAAATGAATAGTATTTTTCTAATTTGATAAGTAGGTGCTGCTAGCACGCCTACAGATCACATCCGCATTGAGAGTTCTGATGATTCTCAAACACAGCTGATCTTTCACAACTCAGTTTAATTGCCATCAGGCTCTGATCAGACTCATCATTTCAAAGCAAGCTGTATTACATGCATAATTTATGCATTTGATTTTAGTAGATCATTTTCTGCCCAGTTCTGAGAGGGCACAAAAGTGTTTTCCATGGGGAAGCTGCTAACATTTTCTGAAGAACCAAACTGACTTTCCTCAAGAACAATTTTTTAGAAATATTATTTGTGAACAGACAGTACATTTTAAAGCAAATTTAGTGTGATGGATTGTTTGAAGTCTCCTACATTTATTTGGACAGCTACTGCAACTTTTGCCCCTGCCTATTTACCACATCTATTTAGTTTTAGTTTAGTGAGCTGAGAGTTATTGCTGGAAGTAGTTAAAAGAAATAAATTAATTTATGGCAACTATTTCAGTTCATGTCCAACCTAACAATCCGGAATACTGGTATTGTATCTGTATTGGAACTTGATTTGGAGGACTTCATTTTCCTACCACAGTTACTCCAGGCAAATGCCACTGAAGGCAACATTAAAGTCACTAGTCCAAATTCTTGGCTGGTGTAAATCAGCACTTTTCTAATAATTTCTGTTGAAACACAAAAACTTATGTTTGCTGGCAACCTGAATGACTGGGCTTGAGTTTTATGATTGCAGCAGAGTTTAAGTTACATATGAGTAACTAAGTTGTTCAAGGCAACTGTCTGTTATAGATGGACAACAACACTCCTGCAATGCAAGAGCCTTTTAGGAGTTAGTTCATGTTTAAAGATATTTTGAGTAAGTATTGTATATTAACATTCTAAAGGCCTGCTAGGTTACTAGAATTTAATACACTATACCAAGCATCTGAAAAATAACTATTTTTTCATATATTTCCACTGTGGTTTAAGAAAATTTTGCTAGATGTGATTCACAAATTTTATATGCCTCCTCCCAGTTTTTTTCCTTCAACTTCTTCCTGCTTAATTGGGTATGCTCTTCCTTTAACTTTACTACTATTTGTTTGGTTAGCTTAGTAGAAAAAAAGCAAAACCCAAAAATCTCATGTAGTACAGTACAAACCTACAAAATGCATCCAAAAATAACAGAGAACAAACTACTTGATTTTTGCTTATGGAGCTTACACAGAACACACTCAGAATTCTGCAGGTTGACCCAGGCGCCAGAAGAAATACTTCCAACACTAGCAAATTCAACCATCATGTAAACAGGCACAAAGAATTGAATAAAGTTGAGCCATTTTGCACCATACTGATTTTAGGCTTGGGAATTTGATAATGTTTTGAGAAGAAAAAAATCTAACGAACAACCTCTACATCAAGGCAGCATATAGTGACAGATAAGTCAATGAGAATAAAGCTGTATGGTATTTAGGACAATTCCTGCAAGTGACTTGGTTAAGCTGAGACATCCAAGGTAGCAAAGACCAGTCATTAACATTTTTTTCAATCTAAATAAGTCTAGCTGGGAAGCAATCAACAAGTTCAGCTTTGAGACCTAAAGGGGAGATAATCACAAAGGAAAGGGCAGGTGGCATGCGCTGCAACAAGCTGGAGGGAAGCATGGCTAGCAACTTTTTTAGCCAGCACAGAAGGAACAAGAGGACACGTATGTGGTCTAAGATATGCTAAAACCACTTCACACCAATCTGACCATGCAAAGGGTGTTTACATAAATGAGAAGTTCATCAGCTTTTCCCTGACACCAGCCCACGCCTCCATCTAGAACTCCCTCTTCTCACACCCCCAGCCCTGCTTTTCATTTCAGTCATCACAGACTTGATTTTCCCTTTCATGGATTTTTGCTTGAAAAAGCATCACTGCCTCAATTGTCTATTTTCAGCCTATATTTAAGAAAACCCTTTGGTTCCATTTGTAGCCACATCCTGTCTCAGCCTCCCCCTCTTTTTGTTCCTAAATATAAGGCTGATGCAATTTGATGTGACATGACAAAATAGCACATTTGCATCGGCAGAAACTTTCTCTCAACGGCAGTAATTAAAGGGAATAGATGAGACATTGCTGAAATTGGTGTTTATTTAGCCTGGAAATAAAAGGCTTAAAAAGGACCTGAGAGGGATGTTCAAGTGTGTCACGAACATGAAATTCATTGATGAGTGCCTTCTTTTACATGCTTCCTTACTGCAAAAGCAAATGGTCATTCAAACAATGTAATCAATTTAAAGAGAATAAAAAAAAAAAAATCAGATTTCTGCAGACCATATTCCTGACCAGTAAAAATCATTTAATGTGTTTCTTTGGATTATAAATAGTACGAAGACACTTGTCGTTACACATAAGACAGGGTCATTGAATCGCTGACTTCAGAGCACAGGCTGTCTCAAATTGTGTAGAAGAGAACTGAGATCTCATTGACTACAATGAAAATCAGGCGCTTAAATATCTTAATTTTTGAGCATCAGCAGCAGATAGGTACTCGCTTTCATCTGCAACATAGATTTTTGTTAATTGTCAAAGATAGGAATTCAGAAATAGGAGCCCAAGGCTCTGAATGCTGTGACTGCAACAGGATTCATACAACAGACAAAAAAATACATATCTACAACACTTACAAAATAATTTACTATGATTGGCTTTGCTGAATGGATACACTGCAAATACTTGACAGGATCAGATACTGTCAGCTTCCTGCACTGTATTCCGTTATGGATGACAGCAATAGAAGGCAGTGGTGGGAGGGAGAGCAACATTTGGAAGTTGAGTGTTTTTTCTTGATTTTTAGAAAGTCAGTTTATTTTACTTAATCCATGTGAAGAATTCAAGGAAAGGTCTGATGGATGTTCCATAGGCCACAGGATTTAACAGACATGTCAAGTGAAACTTCCTGTTCTCAGGAGAATCTTCCTTCTCGTTCACATGAGGCTATTCTTTAAAATCCAACTGTGACTGACACTACCACTCTGCTTAAAATTGGCAGACCACATTTTGAGCAGGGTCTTTTCCATCCTAACACAGATGGCATCAAGTATAGGGCAGGCCAGAAAAAAAATCAGTTTGCATATCATGCTTCAGTTTTTATGGGTCAGATTACCACTCAGAGCCATCAAAATGGCAACCCATATGTGATGTGTCTGCCATTGGAACTAAAGTGATACACCATCATAAGATTAACATGGTTGGTTAGAAAAAGTTTGATTAGCCGTTAATTAACCTCTGATATGTAAAAGTAAAAAGATATTTTCCTTTCCAACAAAATTTTGAATTTGACAAATCAAGAAAATAGCTTTGGTGAACCAAAAAGGAAAAGACATTATCACAACTTCATCCCTGAACAACTGTATCGGCATGGCTCTCTTGGCAGAGGATAGTTTAGCATCTATGCCAAATATTTGCTTAATAAGTGAGCCAGGTGCAGATGTGGGCTATGTAATTTGTTCTAGCTTCTTTGTTCTACAAGCCAGGAAATTGTTCCCACAGCTTTGGAGAAAAAATGGGCGTATGAAGAGCTCTTTGCCTGTTTTCACTGGTGCAAGAATATCAACTGTTTTATTGCTATGAGAGTGTCTTTAAGAAATGTGTCATTAGTAACACACATAACTATTAATTATAGAATCAGCAGAGCGCTAGCTGTGTCCTAAGGATACTAAAGGGATGCTGAAACAAGGTCAAAAACATGGCATTCTGTTTCCAGCCTCCTACCAACTTTCTGCCCCCCTGCAGCAGCCTACCAGATACAATTGCTGGATTCCATGTACTATGGGGGGTATTATCCCAGATGCTCCAGAAGCCATGCTTCTACATTTACAGGGTTTAAAGCAGTCAAGTCTGCTCCTGTGAGAAGTCTATTAAACAATAAAGCTGTATTTTAAATCTGCTGCTATATTATCATGGCACCTGAAATTCAAACAACTGTTATGCTAAATAATAGCCAGGGACACCACTCTGTGTCATTACCAATGGGAAAATTTTTCATTCACAAGTTTTATCACCCCTCCAGCTTCTCTACATGATATTCTGGTTAAGATATTATACTGATATTTCAGGTGTTTCTTCTCAACCAAATACAATACACACAGCAACAGCAGATTCCCTCCATGATGCTGAGATTAGTAATCTAGTTGTAGTCCTGATAGAAGCACAAAAATATTGTTTCCTTTGGTATCTTCACTGGCAATTTGCCATTAGGGTTCTGCTACTGCATTTATCAGCATGGCTAGAATGGAGACAGGGGTGCTCCCAAATACAAAATGCTGTTTAGAAATGCGTCCTGCAGACATGTACAGTCATATAACAAGTCTGCATCAACTTCATTTGTACCATTTGTTTGTGATTTGGCATTTTCACCTTTTACCCATACATGAGTCAAATAGACTCCTAACGATTTCCATAAAACAAACAAACAAAAAAATCACTTACAGCATTCAGAGCAAAGGAACTTCAATTATCTTCACAGATTAGGTCTGTCGAAGTCCAACAGCAAGCAAGAGACCTGCAGAGAAAAATCAATTTTCATTATCTGTTTCTCCTCAACTTGCTACTTAAAATACCATCCATAAAGAAGTGCAGAGAAGCCTATCTATAGCAGAATTTATCAGTATGTAAGCTTTCACTTCTGCCTAACTAGTTACCTTAAACATGAATTCATGGCCTTGATATGAATAGGTTATTGCTTTCAGTAATCTACTCAGAAAACACTTTTTAATAAACATACACTACAAAAAGATGTAAGTAGGGAGAAATTCCAAAGCACTCAGTGAAACTGAACCTTCAATATTTCCTGTTAAGAGTTTCTGAAGGTAAGAAAGCTTTTAACTACTTCAAAGATCCATGGTTTCTAGTATCCAGAACTCTGGACAATGACATAATTTCAGAAATTTACATATTTGTCAGAGAGCAGAACAATGCTTTGGAAAAAGGATTTATCAACATTAGGATAGTCTGGTAGCTCCTCAGTAAAATTTAAGAAGTATTAGGCCTGGATGGTTGTTTGGCTTTCCATTCCCACTGCCATAGTGGTGCAATCTCATCTCAGAATGCTCAAGTACACTTCTGCAGGAAGAAGCAAAGGGAGTAACTTCTTGAACAATACCCTACTTGCAGTACCAACCTTCACTTTCAAAATCATTTCCAAGAAGGCTGCAGAAAACTAGGAATGACTTCCCCGAGAGTTAAAATTTTAACTGAAAACAAACAATGCACAACCAATACAAAGTAGAACATTTTTACAGCTCTAGCAGACAAATATCTGAGAATCTTCCCTTTTACAGTATTCTTTTTAGTACATTTTAATAGCATGTCACACACGGCTTCAGCATTGCACATGTTGGTGTAGTTTCTGGATGACTCTCATTTGGCCCGTAACAGGGGCCACCCGCCTGTCTAATCTTTTGGTGATCTGCACGAGCTGACTCTTTTCCACCTGTCTGTCTAATTTTTGGTGATCTGCATGAGCTTACTCATGCCTCAACAAAAAACTGCTTTTGACCCATCAGACAATTGACTCCATACAAGGAACCCCTGCTTTATCAAATACTTGACTGTACAGTGAGTAAAGGAAATCAACTAATTCTCTAAAGTCAACAGTAATTCCTTTATTTAGAACTTGATCATAAGTTTGTTGAAGTCAAGAGAATGGATTGCTCTGACTATCCAAAGACATCTGGATCAGATCTTACCTCAGATGATCTGGTACTTCACAGAAATTTTCAAAAGCCACTTGAAACAAGAGTCCTAGAAGATAACAGTGACAGAAGAATCTGAACTCATCTATTATGCCTCCCTTTGAAAGATGCAAGCCTTTGAAAAATCGAAGGCAAAATTCTGAACTACACTTACAAACATGTGGATCAAAGATAACTGTTGTCATGGGTGATTTTTTTTTTCCAAGTATTAAGAGTATCATAACTCGGTGACACATCATGGTTGACAACAGCTTGGGATGTTCAATTTTTGACATCTAATTTAGGCACTCATAATTGCCCTCTGAAGGAACATAATTACATTGGGAACATGGGTTCCAAGAATTAAGCATTCAAAAATCACACTTTGGTTACATTCATAGGAGATGCTTTGTTTGCAGCTAAGGCCTATGCATCCTTTCTTGCAAGACATCTGAGGCAAAGCCTTTGTCATCCATTCACACAATTAACACTGCCATCCAGATTCTCATCAATCTGCATCTTGAGCATCCAGTGCACTTTTCTTTGGATTCAGTGTTGTCCTATTATTGTTCATCTATGCTATAAAATGTTTTCCTAATCGATTGCTTCAAAGAGAAGACTAACATAGATGCATTCACTTACTGCTTCTGCCTTTTATTACACAAACAGAAGTTACTTACTTTCATTTCCAAGTTACTGATAGCATATTCTCTCCTTACTCATCTCTAACACAGAGATGTGGAATTTTGCCTCTAATTAGCCTATAATAATAACTTCCACCAGTTACTCATTTTATTTTTAATGTAACTACTATCTCAAAGCTCTCTTCCATGCTGTTCCCATGCTACCAAGGAGTGCTCTGCAAACATCCACTAACCCACTTCTGTGTTCCACTTCGAACAGTTCCTTAAACTTACTCCTTGTCCTGATGCCTCACAAATTTTAAGGCCCAATTGTTACACCTAAAAGGACTAAATGTTTCCCTTTTGCTGGAATAATCATCTGAAACAGATTATGCCAAGATAAAAACACCTGGTAAGATTGCATGAAGCTAGGTCTTGTCATATCAAGATGCACACAGGTAAACTTCCCATAGAAGGTGATGTAAAACAAGGACCTAGAAGAACAGATTCAACTTTAACTAAAAGCCAATCTGGAGTTCACTGAAGCTTTCTAGCTTTGGTACAGGAAGTGAATGCTGAGAGCTGCCTTATAATATTATTTTCATCCATCATCTGAATTTTCTTTTCTGAATAGCACATAGGACCTCTGATATCTACCTTGAATCAGTCCTGCAGAAAACACCTATTATTTAGCATTGTTAATTAACATTTTGTAGATATACCTGCAGTTAGTTAGCCCACTAGGACATTTACAAAGCCCTTTCAGAAGCACATTGTCCTCTGCTATTAACATGTAGCCAATATAATAGCCAAAGAGCAAAGCAATTAACTTCTCCATAGGCTGAAATTTAAACCAGCAATTACTTCTATAATTCACTTAGCAGAGCATCAGGCACCTTTGCTCAGAAAGCTTTCCAAATCTACTCAAAATACACCCAGTTGAGCTTTGAGAACACAAAATAGTATCAGTTGCTATATTTCATTGTTTAGTGATAAACATTGCTTAAGGTCTAACTTGAATTTCTACTTTGGAAATAGAAGAGTCCTTTTAAAGAAAAGTTAGCTCATGTCAAACTTGAGGTTCCTTTACACTGCCGTAAGTGTACAAAGAAGCACTGATGTAAATGTGAATTACATTCTTGGTACATTTACTAGCTGGTATAAGTTAGTTAAAGCTAATAATCTCCAACTTGCTGTGCTATTTTTACCAACTAAAAGCCCAGTGTCTTCTCTTGCTCTTAGAATACAAAGCCAATCTGCACACTTTTATGCATTGTATTGATGATAGTATTCTGGATGTTCAAACACCACCAGTAAACAGCTGCAGCCTGGAAAAATGTTTGTATGGTAGTGTTTATTTTAGAATATAGCCTTTAAAAAAAAAATTAAAAAAATCAAGTTCTAGTGTGCCCCTAAAACATGTTTGAGAAAACATGGGCTTGCTTTCCATTTGTAAGTGCAGACATACTTCCAAGCAAAACTTGGAGCCCATGTTCATTCCTGTCTATGACTGAACAAAAGTATTGCTGTTCAATTTCTTATGTATCATGTATCAGACTTGTTTGCCATATCCGAAAGGAATAGAAAAACACTGTATGTAAAGTCTTTACACTTTAATAAACAGTGATTAAGTATAATCTACTAAATGTAAACAGGTATAAATATGCCATTTCTAAGACACCGGAAATTACTTATCAGAAAGTTTAAAATAAAAAGTGATGGGTAAGAGAGAGGAGCAGGATTATCCACGTATCTCTGCTGCAGTATAAAAATATGAAGCTATGATCCAAAGGCCAATGAAATCAATGAAAATTGATAGGGGCAGGAACAGAGTTCAGAAATCAGAAACGAAATGGAATTTAGGTACCTTCATCTTTATACCTTGGGTTTCCCTGGAAATTCCAACTTTGCAGACCCAGAACAAAATCAAAATCATTCTTTGTATTTTGTTCTTCAATTTTTGTGTTTGTCTTTATGTAAATTTGCTTCAGTGGGCAGACAAAAATTGAAGCCATATACATATTTTTAAAAAGGGTTGCCATTGTTTGTTAGCCGAACAATGAATTCCATTAACTTGCAACATACCACTGTCTCTGTATATCACAACTCTACTTCCTGCTGTTAGAACAGGATCAGAAGCAGAATCAACTGACATTCTCATTTCTTTCTTGCACAGTGAGCACTGGTCAGCTTTTGTTGAAAGAAACATTTCCATAATAATCGGACAAGACTTCTCCCTCATTTGTTTGCAATGAAAGAGTTAAATATCCATGACCCAAATATGGAGACCCATTTTAAACTTGCTGAAAATTGCTTTTTAATCCTAGCTCTCGAGGATTTCCTTTGAAACCATCTGCCATGCACGCTGAGTAGTCTTTTCCTGTATATATACAGGATTACTATAACATGGATTCTTTTGTGTAACTTAATACATTTCAGCATATTAAAAAAATTAGTTGAAATTTCCATTCTTTTCTGATTTCAACTGTATACCATGAAAATGACTGTAAAAGTCAAAATCAGTGATAAATTAATAGCAAAACTGACACCCATATTTATCTTATTTATTGCAGTATTTACATCGCAATTCTAATATATTTAGTCAGTCTAACACTGGATAGGATTTAAGCAAATAGTTATGAGTCATTTAACTAATATAACTTATGCACATGCTTAAAATTAACCTCAAGCATTTTCCTGGATAGGAATGGATTTAAACATGTGCTTTCTGAACTAGAACATAGTTTGAAGACTGGAAGACACAATTAACATCATCATAATTAGAGATCAGAAGAGATTTCCAAATATTATTTCAAATCTATTGTTCAGCTTTTTCTGTTTTCTTGCTATGAACCTTTATGCAGTTGTATTTTTATAGTACAAATACTGAGGAGAAGCAGTGAGTCACATTCATAAACAAACTGAATCTTAAAAATGGCACATGTAACCATATATATTTTAGCAATCATCCAAAACATAAAACAAAGAAAATATATTGCTTCCTATCAGAATAATCACAGCCAGAGCAATTGAAACAGCAAACATTCAGCAAGACAGATTTATAATCAATTTATAGAATCATCCTACAAAGTAAAAAAAAAAAAATCAAAACCCCAACACAATTATTGAGCATTTTCAATGTGGAATACTTTTAAAAGATGGTGATTTGCTTGCAAACATTCTGAGAAAAGAAAATAAGGAAAATT